CAAAAGATATAAAATTATGTAAAAGATCTGATTAACTCTTCAAATTTTATCGGTGACACATAAATTGGACAAATGAAATAATATATATTATTTGAAAATTACTTAGAAAGTACAATAATTTACAGTAATCAACAATAGAATATTTTAAAGACAAAAAAAATTGATTGAATCTCAAAATTTATTAGTACCACATAAATTGAGAAAGAAGAAATAACATTTATTATTTGAAAATTGCGTAAAAGATATTACAAATCATACAACAATAATTAGCAATTTTGAATGTTAAAAGACATAAAAAATTTTTTACCATAGTTAACAATATTTAAAAATTTAAACTATTTTAAATTAATATTAAAGTTTGATTAACTCTTTAATTTTGTATTTTTCACATAAATTGAAACAAAAAATGATACATATTGGTCCCGTGCTAGCACGGGCTCCGATGTCTAGTGTGTATATATATGTAACACCCCAGAAAATTTTTGAACTAAGACTCGAACCGTTCTTCGTAGTGAGTGAGATTTTACCAAGGAGTTTAAAATTTCTTAAGTGTTAAGGTCACTAGATGTAGCACCTTGAGTTTCAAAAAGAATTAAATTGGAAATAGCAAAATCTGAAATTTTGCAAGTTATGCTTAAGTATGAGTTTTGGGTCGACTTCAAACAACCATAACTCCTAGCTCAGGATGAATTAGGTGTGCTACCAAATACCGTAGCGAAGATCTTTGAATTATCTTTCCAACGCCGCGGAGTTTGCTATGTTTCGAGGTCGGATGAGTGAGATATGGCCTTTTGAAGATAGGCTGTCCAGTTAAGGAAGGTTAGCCGAAAATAGAGAAGGGTATTTTGGTCTTTTCCTTACCCAATCAGATTTAATTCGTTTTTAGTAATATTTTAGGGGTCTAATCTGATTAGGTTCAGTTTTATAATTCTAAAATACACCTAGGGTTTTAGTTGAGAGTTCAAGAAGAAGAGAAAAGAGAAAGGATGAAAGCATTCGTCGAGATTCTTGCATCTTGTTGCGGATTTTCGCCATGGGTTTAATCCCTAAGAGGTATGTAAGCTTCCATAGTGTTGGGTTCTTTCACCCACATGCCAATTATGATTTATTCAGCGTAATTTCGCTCTTGAAATTTAAGGATTTAAGTTATTGATAAGTGTTATTGAAGTTTCATTAAATTTTGAAGTAAGATTCTGCTTAGGTCAACTTTAAACGACCATATCTCTTAGAATATTAAGAGTTACGTGAGCCATAACCTATCCAATTAAAGGTAATTGAATCTACTTTCCAACCCCACCAGTTTCACGTCAATCCAATATCTGAGTAAAAAGTTATGACTATTTTAGTAACCTATACAGTGCTGTTACGAATTAGCCGACGGGAAAATATTGAAAATAATCGTTTCTTTGTCTTTTTACCTCCAAGAAAACCATCAACGAATTTCTTGACTAATTAAAAAAGCTCAAAACAGTCAGATTTACATCTACACTCATGAAAATCATAATTTTTGGCTATAGAGATTTTAATAAACTAACTCGAGAATCTCAAGAAAGGTCTTCTTGATTGTTTACCTTCAAACAAGGGTTTCAAGGCTTCTAATCAAGTTCTTCTTCAAGATTCTTAAAGATTCTTCAAGAATCTTGTTCTTCTAGGTATGTAAGGCTATCATAGTGTTGAACTAGTTCGTCCTCACGCCCTACATCTACTTTCAGATCAGAAAAAGAGTAATCTAGGATACTTTCCCTAGATTTGAGTATTCTTGAGATAAGTTGATTTTGAGTTCTTGAATTCATGTTTCTTTTAAAAGTTTTATTCCTAATTATCGAATATCTATATTGTTATTGAGATCCTTCATATCATGAATCATAACTCTTGAATTCATAATTCAAATTCAAGAGAGAGTTAAGAGTAGAGTTCAAGAAAGCCTTTGAGTTCAATTGTGAATCCTTTGAGATCAACTATCGATTTGAACTAAGTTTTGAGGAAGTAAGTCAGAGAATGAGAAGAGTCACATACATGAGTTTCATAATGTTATGTAGACTTACGAGTCAAGTCGTTCATGCCCATAAATTCCGCATGAACTCCAGAAGTTGAGTATCTTTGAGAGGAGTAGTATCTTCAAGTTCTAAGTCTTGAGTATTGAGTTCCTAATCCCCTTTGAGATTATATTTCTAAGCATGGGACTATTACATGTTACCCATAAAGTCTTTGAGTTGAATTGTTCATGCCCATAATTCCGCATGAATCCTATAAGTCGAGCAGTCTTGAGAAGAGAAGTATCTTTGAGTCCTTGAGTTGAGTCGTTCATGCTCATAATTCCGCATGAACCCTCTGAGTTGAACATTCTTGAAATTAGCAGTATCATTGAAGTTCTTGAGTTCCAAGTATTTGAGTTCTATATATGGTTATTGAAAACCTTGCATTTAGTAGTTCATGTCCATAATTCGGTATGAACCACATTTTAAGAAGTCTTTTACAAACGTTTTAACTTTGTTTAAAGACTTAAGTTTTGAGTTCAGTAAAGAGTAAAGAGTAAAGAGTAAAGTTTGAAGTCCTTTTCTTCAAAATTATATGGGGACTAAGTATTCCCAAAGAGTTTATAAATGTTTTCACATTTAAATAAGAACGGAAACTGAGATTTCCAAAGGGCCTTCGGGCTAGTTTTCAGAAAAGAGTAATAGCTTTCTAAATGAAGCAAGCAGGGAAACTAAGATTTCCAAGATAGCCTTTGAGCTATGTTTTTGAGAAATTATCTCAAATCAGCAGAAAAAAGTATGTTTTTAAAACATAAGAGCTAGTATATTTTGGGAGTAGTATTGAGCACCGATATGGGGGAGAGTTCAGACAACTCACAGCCCCCATAAACCATGTAGCCATCATGGGTAGAAAAGGGTCATACTTTCTAGATGAACCTTTTTCACATAGACTAGTGGATCCATTAGTAGTTCAGGTCCTATACCTTTGGTCGGGTATAGGATGCGCTGGCAGCGTGAGGTAGATCGATGTATCATCACTATAGCTCTTATGTGATGGTTGTCGGTTAGAGAAACTCCCACAGAAGTTATTGTATTTTTATATACATCAGTTTATTGTATTTTTATATACATTTCAGAGTTATGTTGTATCCTTGCATACACACAGATTTGACAGCATGTTTTTAAACAGTTTAATTCTTTATATTGCACTTGTTTTAAATTGCTTTATATTGAAATGAGTTCAGTCATATTGAGTTGAGTATTCAAAGTTGAGTATCCATAGTTGAGTATCCAGAGTCGAATATCATATTTTTAGTCGAATATCATATGCTTGAGTTGAGTATCTAATCTCTGAGTTGAGTATCTTATCCTTGAGTACTTCTGAGTTGAGTAAGTTTGAGTAGTTTAGAGTATTTCTTGAGTTGAGTAAGATTGAAAAGAGGCAAGTATGTTTCCTTTTTATCAAGTTTCAAGCTTATGTTTATGTTTTAGAATTCCTCTTACATGCTCGTACATTCCACGTACTGAGCCATTTGGCCTGCATCTTTTCATGATGCAGACACAGGTATTCAGGATCATCAACAGGAGCTTCGTTGATACATCCGAGAGTTCGAGTTAGCTATGGTGAGCCTCCTTGCTTTCGGAGGATTTCATTTACCTTTCAGTTATATCAGTTGTTAGGATGTCGTGGGTCTTGTCCCGACTTCCATCTTTATCAGTTAGAGGCTTCATAGATAGTTAGTATAGTTGAGAAGTCTGTATCATTTATTTTATTAAATGTTTTAAAGACTAAAGTTGCCTTTTTATGGCGAGTTGTATATATTTTATTATACAGAGTTTTCTTTGGACTTAAAGTTTGTATTTAAGTTTTATGAACTTTTATTTCAGTTTTTAAGCTTTATATGCTTGAATCAGTTTTCCGCTTGTAGTCAGCCAGGATGAGGGTTCGCTTGGGGACCAGCAATGGTCTTCGAGTGCCGGCCACGTCCAGGGTGTAGGCTCAGGTCGTGACAATATATATATATAATATATATTTCTGAACATAAATTAACATACCTTTTATTACATTAATATTTACAAAATTATTTTTCTAGATTAATAATAATGTATAATAATTTAATATCTCTAAAAATGATATGATAAAAATCAAATTTAATTATGCCTTGACATGTTATATTACTTATGATAACTTGAAGTCATCATATGTTTTAATCAAGACTCTAATAGTTTTGAAAGAAATTAGCAAAATAATTATTTAATTAAAATATTAATGTTGGTCATTAAATTTAATTTACATAAAATTAGAATTATATAAATGACCATTTAAAATAGTCAAGTAGTCTCATAATTTCCCATATAACTTTTGTTCAAGTCTTTCTAACTAACAACACTTGCCTCAAATTTTAAATGAAGGGCTAAATTGTCCCATTTCAAATTCAAAATTGATTCATTCCCCTTGTTTTGGAGTAATTATTAGCATTATTCACTTGTTTAACAAAGATGATTTTACAAGAATAATAATAATTCAATTGTCTTAGTGTTTTGATGTTAGCAATTAAATCAATGTTAATGATTTTGTGATCCTTGAATAATTATGAATTGTGTATTTGTAAATCTCAATCTTGACAATAAAATAACGAATATGTCTTGACGCCAGTTATAGTGATCTTATTATTTTGAAAAAATATATTAGACATACTTAATTAGGTGAAAATTTAAATCAGACCATGCTACTTTGAAATCCAATGATATTTTTCGTAGCCGTCCATAATTAATATAAAAATATAAAATTCCATAGTGAAAGTTAATTTATAACTAACATACACCTAATTATACACAAAATGAATTAACACTATTCATTGATCACCACTAATAACATGTGACGTAAATATGTGGCTGATAATGCTTTATACTAGCAAGCTTTTTATAACTAACTGAAAAAATTGTATATAAAGGCTACAAGTTCTAAGAATTTGTTCATCACACTCTTTTCACAACTTATAATTACTTTGAGAAGAAGAAACTATGGGTCTCAAAGGTAAGTTGATTGGTTCAATAGAGGTAAAATGTGGAGGACATTTGATTCATGATATTATTCATACCAATCCTCATCATATACCCAACATAGCTCCCAATGTGCTCAATCATTTTGAGATTCATGAAGGTGAAACTATAAAGGTTGGTTCGATTGTTAGCTGGAAATTTAACCAAGGTAAAATATAATTTTTCTCTCTCAATTTTCTTGCATCAATTTCTTTTTGTAGGAATAAGGTATAAAGCCACACCTAAAATTGCCAATTACACATTTAACTATGTGGGTCCTATCACCCCTTTGAATTTATTTATTTATTTATTGTTATTTACCCCTTAACTAATTACTTGGTAAAAAACCAAGTTTAAAACGTCATGTGCATAAACGCGTCTATACAAGACCAAAAAAAAAGGAATTTTAATATCTAATTTAATTTAATTCTTATAGATTTAAACTAATCGGAACCTCATTGTTTCTTACGTTTCAACCCCATTATGGGTGGTTAAATTTTCACTTTATTATATGTACGTAGTATATACTTTAATATATGCATGGAGCATGAATTTTTTTAATTCTTTTTATTGTTAAAAATGTTCTTTGTATCTAATATACACGAGGGCATGACATATTACTCAGAATCTTGACTTTGTATTTTATTGTGTTTGAGGCTCGAAAAATAATGAAATCCATTCAATTTGGGTCTAAAAGAATAAGATAAAATAAAATAAGACATTAAAACATTTTTTATTTGCCTAATATAGACGCGAGAATACACGTGATATACTTTAACTTGATTTCTTTACTAGAGTGAAGAGGTAATTAAATAATACTAATATATATACTAGTTTTTCGACACGTGCGTTGCACGTGATTATCAATTCATAAAATATATGTTAAAGTAATTAATATTGCTTATTTAAGTGAAGATTTGAATAATAAGTTTTGCACAAAATAATATTACAGATTCTTTTGTGAATGTTTAGTGTGGATCGTCATATATATCTCTTATTCACGCGAATCTATGAAGTTGGTCAATGAAAAAATTTATTAGTTAAATGCAATAATGCATCTATTTATTTCAATTTGATGGGGTTCAATCATGTAATTAGTTGTATCTCAATAATATTACCTTATAGACGATAATTGTTATGTATTTTTCTTCCCATCTAACCAGATGTGCTTTGCACGTGTATATTATACGTTGAACTGTTTAGATGTAATATGAACATGTGAAGAGAACAACTAAATTTTATTTTTTAGAACTAATCTTTGTATATTAATTTTTATTTTATAAGTTATAACATAATAGATGACGTTCTTGTTGTTGACTCTCATATTTGACTTCTCGATTGATTGTATACATAAATCAAAGATAGTTATTTCGATGTCCATAGTTAACTAAGAAAGGTTTCCTTTTCTTTTTTTACCGGAAAAACTAAAAATTAAAATTAAAGAATATATTCTATCTGTGAAATCATATATATACTCACATGTTTATCTTACACCCAACAAAGATGTAGTTCATATACTTGTAAACAATTTTTAATTTATTCAATTAAGCATGATTCATCCAAGGAAAAAAAACAACATCGTGTTATCACATATATTGGGGCGGTGTAATAATATAAAAAAATATTGTTTGAAAGTTAATACAAGAAAAGATGAAAGATAAAAATATTTAATATAATAACTATGATAATTTCTAATATTATAACTAAAGAATGTTAAAGTGTGTGAATAACGTTTGCGATAATTAGTAATAACTAAGAGAATTTGTAATGTTATAACTAAATGATTAATGTGCAATAGATGTATTTCTAATAAATTTTATACTTACATAAATAAATAGGACTTTTAATTAGTGTTACTATTTTTTCTTATAGTTATTAGATTTTAATTTAGTGTAGGGACAAAATGAAAATATTTATTCCATATTACTGAATATAAAATTTATTTTGTAATTGATAAATTTTTAAATGATTCATATATATTCACATATTTTCACTCTTGAGAAGTTTAATAATTTTGGAAAAAGATGTCCAGAAGCATATATTTACATCACAAGAGAAATTGTTAACAAAAACAGATGAATTTACACTACATCATGTTAATTTCATATATATTGGAACATTACATACTAATGTATATATTAAGCAAAAAAAATAAAATTATATATCATCAAAATTATTTTCCTTAAGTAATCGGGGTTATGGAATGTACCTTCTTAGGATAGAATGATTTACTTCATCAGTATAGTGGTACCTCATGTTCCACTAAACTTCGAACTTACTCAACGACAATAAATCACACAGAAAAATTTAAAATGCAAGAAGAAGAATAGGAGATTAAAAAAAATGGTGATTCAAAAATGAGAGAAAGTCCCTCTATTTATAGTCAACAAAGGCTAGTATGAACAAGTGTTTTTTGTGTTTTATTCATGACCTTTCCGAGAAGTCACAACCCTTTGGAAAAGTTACAATCCTTTGGAAAAGTCACAACTCTTTGGAAAAGTCATAACTCATCGAAAAATCACAACTCTTTGAAAAAAGTCACAACTTATCGGAAAAGTCACAACTTATCGAAAAAGTCGCAACCTAAGTTAGGGATATTATAATAATTTAACATTCAAGTTAGGACTTCATGCTTTTAAGGTAATATAATATATATATATATATATATATATATATATAGCCGTCAAAATGGACTTAGTCCATGGGGCCGGCCCAACCCAACCCATTATTGGGGTAGGGTTGGATAGGATTTTTCAAACCCATTTAACACAAGGGCTTATAGGCCCATCCCATATAAGCTATTGACCCTTGAGGCTTGATCGGGACGGGGTCGGGGTTGGCCCATGGGCCAAAACTTTTTATGTAAGGGTTACTTACAAAAAATCTCACTAGTATATAATCTAATTATTTTAATACACGTTTTGTTGTAATATTATGAATCTTACCAGATTTTGGTACGTCTAGATACATGTATCTCAAAATATATGGACTCAAAATTAGGTTAATCTGTTCTAGATACACTCTATCCAAGTAGATTCGCATGTATCTAGGATGCACAGACAAATCTCGTGCCCTCGCCTCCCTCCAATCTTGCTTGTCACTCTCTTATCTTGCTCACGTATCTGGTATGCGAGATACATGCTAATTACACTAGGCTTTTTGCTAGTGTTATTAAAACAACACCATTGTTTGCCATATTTGATTTGAAAATCTTCTCATTTTCTTGATGTTATAGAATTATAAGTTTGAAAAGGAAAAAAATGACAAAAAAAAAAGGGCTAGCCTGCCCCAGCCCTCGGCCCTTCTAGGGTTGGGTTGGGTTGAGCATTTTTAGGCCCTTCTGAATGAAGGATCATCCCGCCCTAGCCCTTCAAATTCCTTGGCCTACGAGGCTTGGGCCGGATGGAGCTAGTGCTGGTAGGAATAAGGTATAGAAACACACCGAAATTTTGGTAAAATTTTCAATTACACACTTAAGCTATGTGAGGTCCTATCATCCCTTAACTAATTACTTGGTAAAAACAAGTTTAAAAAGTCATGTGCATAAACGCGTCTATACTAGACCAAAAAAAAAAGAAATTTTAATATCTAATTTTAATTTAATTCTTATAGATTTTTCTTTGCTCAGTCTCCCAACATCGAATATTATTTTGTGAATGTTTATATTTTTATGAGGATTTAAATATTTTAATTAGGAGTAACATCTCTTGTATTTTTTTTATTTTAATAATTATAGGTGGAAATGAAATACTTTTTAAAGATGTGGTTGAATCTGTCGACCTTGAAAAGAAATCGATCACTTGGAAAGTAATTGGAGGAAATATGTTAGAGTTGTATAATTCTTTCACTATTATCACATCCAGTGAACACCAGTGGACGACAATCACACTTCTATACGAGAAGAAAACTGAAGATACCCCAGAGCCCCTCACTCACTTGGGTGTTCTCCTTAATGGCCTCAAAGATATTGAAAGCCACCTTCTCAAGAAATAGAAAATCTATAATGTTCAATGGTTCTACACATTATGTATGTGTGTGTGTTTGTAATTCGGTGATGAATATTCGACAATATTGGCTAATTTTAGCCAGCATGTGAAATAAATAATGTCAGATTTGAATAATATACATATATCATATATGCCAACTTCTAAATAATAATTTGTATGTCATGCTTAAAATTTGCTTAGTTCTCTTTAGATTTTGATATTTGCGTATTATTACTATTCACATAATCATGTTCCTAACGATTCTGAGCTATATAAGTGGAGCTAGAAATGCATCTGAAGTCAAAATGTAGGTCCATGCAGCACAAAAATTGGGAATTTACACTCAAGAGAAAAATGTTTTAAGAAAAATATTTCACCTTTCAAAACACTCAAATGGACTTTGAAGTCCTCTCAACAAAAGAACATTTACTTTTACATTTTGAAAACAAGTGTTCTTTCCCATCTTAGTGGTTGATAAAGTATGGAACTAACAATCTTGACGCCCTTGAGGTACCGGCAACTCATCCTGCATCAGAATTTTCTCATGCCAGACAAGCTCATTCTCATGTTCATATTTCTTTTAACGAATAACATAAATGAAATATTTTAAAAATTCGATGATATATTTGAGCTTATTCCCTATTTTAAAAGACTGAATTGGCATCCCCTCTCTCTCTCTTAAGAAATAGGATGGACCCAATAGGTATTACCATACTAGGAAAAGAAAATTGGCCAAGAAAATCAAATAAAATCTTTGATTCTTATCTCACTATTTACAAAGATGCTTTATTTATTAACTAAAATGAGAAAGATTTGTTGGGAGGACCATTCCTAAATGCATAATTTAAAATTTATGAGGGTTTCAATATGAGCTCTGAACACTGGATGGGAATAAAAAAAAATTAAAATAAAGAAGAGTAAATGTTATAATTTCTGTGTTTTTCTATGTTTTGTATCGTCCTATATTATAGTAAGGTTATGTTATAAATTTGAGGCTATATCGTCTTATATTATAGTAAGGTTATCTTATAAATTTGAGGCTAGACATATACTCTATCTTTCAATTTTTCTTATGTATAGATTTGATCATTCTTCATGCTTATATTATTTTCTTAGTTTTATGGGAAGTTGAGCATTTATTGCATAACCTATCAAATTCAATTTCAAATATTTCAAAGTTTGGCAGTATATTGAAAATAAATTTATGCACGTGGCATTAATTATTGTATTTTATTCTATTCAAAATAAGTGATATTTTATTTAATTAATTGGTACTTCCTCGGTCCCTAATTACTTGTGCACTTTTGAATTGACACACTTATTAAGAAAACAATAATTGAGATAGTGAGTTTATCATTTACCTCTATTAATTATGAAGTAGATGAATTAAAAATTTAAGATTCTCAAGAAGTTCAACCTTTTTCAAAATTAATTAATTGAGGGTATAATAGAGAATTTTTTTTGTCCTTTCTTGATTTGTCAAAATGAACAAGTAAAAAAAGAAAATTGAACAAGTAATTAGGGACAGATGGAGTATTAATTTTTATTTTTTGAAATTTATCCCTATTTATATAGTCTTGTAGAATTTTTTTTTCCACTACAATTTTCCTATGGGCTATGAATACATGATATATATATATATATATATATATATTATTTTATTTTTTAATTTTTTTTTCTTATTGTTGTTCATGCATTGTTTATGAGTTATTATTTCGGAACACAAAATAACATAACTTTTACTACATTACTATTTACAAAATTATTTTTCTAGATTTATAATAATGTATAATAATTTAATATCTCTAAAAATGATATGATAAAAAAATCAAATTTAATTATGCCCTGACACGTTATATTACTTATGATAACTTTGAAGTCATCACATGTTATAATCAAGACTCTAATAGTTTTGAAAGAAATTAGTAAAACAAATATTTAATTAAAACATAATTTTGGTCATTAAATTTAATTTACATAAATTCGTATTATATAAAATTACCACTTAAAATAGTCAAGTAATCTCATAATTTCCCATATAAACTTTTGTTCAAGTCTTTATAACTAACAACACTTATCTGGAGTTTGAAATGAAGGGCAAAATTGGTTCATTCTCCTTGTTTTGGAGTAATCATTAGCAGGGATGGTATTTTTTAATATTTTTTTTAGTTATTTGCTAGTTGGAGGACGATATTTTTGAACAAAATGCATAACGAAAGATAAAATTAACCAATTTTAAATAGTGATCCTACCATTGTCAAACAATATGCTAGATATACTCAATTGAGAGAAATTTTTCAAATTATATTATGCTATTTTAAAATCTAATAATATTTTTCGTAGCGGTCCAAAATGAATTAACCCTAATCTTTGATAATAACATTGTGATGTAAATATGTGGTTGACAATGCTTTATACTAGCAAGCTTTTTATAGCTAATTAAAATGTATATAAAGGCTACAAGTTCTTAATATTTGTTCACCACTTTCTTTTCACAACTTATTATTACTCTAAGAGAAAGAAGTTATGGGTCTTAAAGGCAAGTTGGTTGCTTCAATAGAGGTAAAATGTGAAGGACACTCGATTCATGATATTGTTCATACCAACACTCATCATCTACCCAACATAATCCCTGGCGTGCTCAATCATTTTGAGATTCATGAAGGTGAAACTATAAAGGTCGGTTCGGTTGTTAGTTGGAAATTTAATCAAGGTAACACATATTTTTCTACTCTCTCAATTTTCTTGCATCAATTTTTTTTGTAGGAATAAGACATAAAAACACACCTAAACTATGTTGAAATTGTCAGTTACACTTAACTTATGCAGGGATCCTATCACCCCTTTGAATTTATTTATTTATTTTTGTTATTTACCCCTTAACTAATTACTTGGTAAAAAACAAAGTTTAAAGCGTCATGTGCATAAACATGTCTATACTATACAACAAAGGAAATTTTACTATCTAATTTAATTTAATTCTTATAAATTTAAACTGATCGAGACCTCATAACACGTTTCAACTTGTTATGGATGGTTGAATTTTTACTTTATTATACGTAGTATATAGTTTAATGGAGTATGAATCTTTAAAAAAAATTATAGTTGAAAATGTTCTTTCTATCTAATATACATGAGGGGCATGAAATATATATTAATCAGAATCTTGACTTTGTACTTTATTGTATTTGAGACTTGATAGACGGTGAGATATTCATAAAAAGGAATTTACCATAAATATATTTCAAAGTAGGAAATTTTGCATTAAAAAGGAAAAACATATATAACTTCTTCACCTGTGACTTGAAGTCTTATCTTTATTAAAAATTACCTTAACTTTTAACTTTATTTCTACTTGCTCCTTCTAACACTTAGAAATCGTTTCTTTAATACTCAAAAGTTCTGCTACTCTATGATTTATCAATATTATTAATATTTAATATAAAAAATTTCCAATATAGCTTTTACTTGCTAATTAAACATCAGAATTTTTTTTTAAAATATTTAAAAAAAAAAAAACATGAAGAACTACTTCACTCATACCAAACACAATACAATAAAATTTATAGCTTGTCCTACTAATCCTCATATTCTCCCCAATGTGAAAAATGAAAATGAAAATGAAAATGAGGAAAATCAAACTAAATTAGATGAGAATATTATTTTGTGAATATTTATGCTTTTATGAGGATTCAAATATTTAAATTAGGAGTGACATCTCTTGTATTTGTTTTTTAATAATTACAAATGGAAAGGAAATGCTTCTTAAAGAAAAGATTGAATCGATTGACCTTGAAAAGAAATCGACCACTTGGAAAGTGATTGGAGGAAATATGTTAGAGTTATATGATTCCTTTACTATCATCACATCTAGTGAACATCAGTGGACGACAGTCACACTTATGTACGAGAAGAAAATTGAAAATACTCCAGAGCCTCTCACACTCTTGGGGTGTTTTCATTATTGGACTCAAGGATATTGAAAGTCACCTTCTCAAGTAATAGAAAATCTATAATGTTGAATGGTTCTATACATTATGTATGTGTGTATGTTCGTATTTGTGTAATGAATATTTGACAATATTGGCAAGTTTTAGCTAGCGTGTGAAATAAATAAAGTAATATATTTGAATAATATACCTATTATGTATACCAACTTCTAAATAAAAAATTAACTCATAATTTCATGTATGACTGTCACATTCCTTTTTTCATCGAGGTTTTTCAATTAAAGGAACTATTTTTAAAAATATTTATTTTATTTAGAATCGCCACTTAAAATTGAATTTTGATGAATCTCTAATAAAAAAAAGTTGACTCTTCATTTTAATTGGTCTACAAAGAAGAAATTTGGGTAAGATATTATGTTAATCGAGGAGAAGGTATCAAACATCCCGCAAATCTCATGGTTCTAGCATGATCTCTTTATTGACATATATATGATTTGAATAAATTCTTGTATATATTACGCTTATGGGCCTAGAAAAACTGCTTATAGACACTTGCTTTAATTTATTTTAAACTTATTTTAAAATTATCTTACTTTATTAATATGGTATCCGATTTCCAAATAATTTTTTAAAAAATGAAAAACTAAGGAAAAAAAGAGAGGAAAGAGAAGAGCATGAAAGAGAAACAAAAGACAAATAATGAAAAATAAAGCACGAGTCTCACAGATCGGAATATAATTGCAATAAAAAATATCCTCACATAACTAGTACAAGTTGTACCTCATCCACAGTAAAAATTTTCGTTCTGAGCTATATAAGTCGAGCCAGAAATGCACAAAAAATTGGGAATTTACACTAGAGAAAAATGCTTCAAGAATAATATTTCACCTTTCAAAACACTCAAATGGACTTTGAAGTCCTCTCAGCAAAAGAACATTTACTGTTACATTTTGAAAACAAGTGTTCTTTCCCATCTTTGTGGTTGATAAAGTATGGAACTAACAATCTTGACACCTTGAGGTACCGGCAACTCATCCTGCATCGGAATTTTCTCGTG